TGACCCAGCGGAGCTCCCCGCTAGGGTGCCGCAGTCACACGGCCAAGCGAACAGACATGCGGGGCACGCGGGGGCGCATGGGGGCACATGGGGGCCTGCGGGCCAGGGCGGAGCTGGAGGGATGGGCTGGGGCTGCAAAGGCAGGCGGTGTGGGGCTGTCCCTGCCCCTCCAGCCAGCCCTAACTGGCTACCTGCCCTCCGTACAGGTCCTCAGATCAGCCCGTCCTCCATGCTTGTCCATCAGGCAGAGAAGGGGTAAGGAGGGGAAACCAAGTGAGGCCACGGCACATTCTTCTGCTACACAGGGGATCCGCTCACACCTCACCCTGGCAGGGACTCTGGAAGGCGGGGGGTCAGCCTGTCCTTGCCACCGGGCCCTCTGCTCCAGGCCCAAGCCCAGTGCCCATGCCTCCTGGAGGTCCTGCTGGTCTCTCCGAGCCACGCCACGTCTCGCCACTGCCCTCCTGGCGCCTCTGAAGGTCCCCCTCCGCCCCGTGATAATGGAGGCACGAGGCTTTGAACACCAGAGCCCAAGGCCACCGCATCCCAGGCCCAGCAGCTCAGGGCAACCAGGCGCTGTTCTCAAATCCCTCCAGGGTTTGATAAATGCTCTGCGCTTCTTCAAAAACACCGCCACGGGGGAATGCTGGGCCTCCCACACAGAGCTCTGTGCTTATCTCTGAAAATTTATTCTTTGTTTCTGCAGAAATGGTACATGCCCGAAGCGAAGAAAATAAAGCAACCCAACAAGTAGAAAGTAGGAATCCTCTAGGCTCCGCTGCCTGGACACGGCGGGTGCTTGGCTGGGCTCGCTTGCGTGCGCCACCCACGCGGGGTCCACCGGAGCTGGGGAGGGGCACAGGGTGGCCAGTGTGGGAAAGGATGTGAGACCCCCGTCTTTCCCGAACCTGCTTCAGGCAGATGCTACATCAGGACAAGCAGGAAGCACTGCTTATCTGCGAAATGCAAGCTTACAGTTTCACATAAACGAATCACAGTGTGCACGTTGTTCTGAAATCAGCGATTTTCCATCAACAATAGTTCCGGAAATAGTGCGGTATTAACAAATTGCATGTACATCATTGCCTCGAATCACTGTCTGTTATTCCAGTGTGTTTATCACAGCTCACACAGCCAATCCCCGTGAATGGTCTTTTATAGTTTTCTGTTGGTTTCTCTTCTTGTTCACTTTTAGAAACAAGATCCTACGAACATCTTCCTGCATTCTCCCTTTGGCCTTTTGTGATTGTCTCCTTTACAATACCTCACGAGTCAGAGACATTCTGAATTAGGATACCTGTTCCCAGACTGTCTTCTAGATAATTCTAATTTAAGACTCCTGCTAACCATGCAAGCACACTCTCCAACACAGAGATTTGTCAATCTTTGTGGTATTTCTGCATCCGATAGGAATGTACCTTATTGTTATATTTACATGCATCTCCTACAATTACTGGCTGATTTCACTTCGTTTTTGTATAGCTGTGCTGACTGTGCATATGCTCTTTTGCCACTTGGTTTACTGGGAGAGCTTGCTGCCCGATTTACTTACAAATGCCCTCACCTACTGGGCTTTGTCTGTCGGGTGTGCAAAAATGGTTCCCCAGATTCCTAGTTTGCCTTTGACCTGGTGGGAGACATCCCTCCTGTTGTATACTTTATGGAGGCACTGTTATCAGAACTTCCCTACGATTTCTGGAGCTGGGGACATACAAAGCCAGACCTTTTCAACATTGTTGGGTTCTAGAACATTGGCATTTGGGTTTTACTGTTTAATTCCCTGATGGTTGCGGATGTATTTACTTCTGAAGACATAGGACTCAAGCTGACTTCTGTTTCCATGTGCCAAGCGATTTATCCCCAAACATGTGAATGAGGTATAAACCCGATCTTTCTCCCTTGGTCTGAAAAACCACTTCACTCCGAGTGGGTCTGTCTGTCCGCCTGGCCCTGCACCACCCACACGTAGCTTTGACGACCAGTGTCTTAAAGATCATTTACTTCCTTACTTACCTACACTGATGTGGCTCTTCTCTAGAATTGTTCTTGGGAATTTGAGGCCTGCAGTTTTTCCTCTTCTTTTTCCATTTTTGGGGAGCAATCTTCGAATTTGTAATGAGCATGATTTTATTTGGTCATTGGAAAAATAAATAAATGTGGAAATAAATGATCAGGACCACAGTGCTCTCTAATCTTCCCTCCGCCCCCCTGCACTGGGCCTGAGGCCTGGCCGTGAACCCCAGGCGTCCAGCTCTGCAGACCCTCTGTTCTGTACCCATACATGGAAACATTCAAAACTGAAACATTTATCAGTGACTCTTCTTTTCAGGTTTTGTTACGAGGCATCTCCCAACCCAAGACCCACCCTGTCCTTGATCCCAGTTCGAGGTCTGTGTTCCTGGGTCTCGGGTCTGGGCAGAGTCTCCAGAGGTGGCCCACCCACTCCTTCCCTCCCCTATGCTTGAGCTGTCCTCTCTTGAGGGTGTCCTCCTTGCAACTCGCTCGCCCATGGAGGGGGGGCAGCCCTGAGCCATGACTGTGGCCCTATCCGATCCTGCTTCCAGGAGGATGGCCCCTGCCATCTCTCCGCACCCCCTGGGCTCACTGACCTGCTGTTGGGTGGACGGCTGACTTCAGGGAGGTGGCACTCTGAGTGTCAGTGTCTCACGTTTGGCACTTGGTCCAGTTATCTATTGCTGTGCAACTAGCCACCCAACACTATGTGGTTCAAATGGCGACAGACAGCTATCTCTCACGGTGCTGTGGGTTGCTGGGCTCTGCTGGGACGTCCTCACTGCGAGTCCCTCAGGAACATGCAGGAGGATGGCAGGGGAGCCATCTGTAGGTGCTACTGGGCTGGATGTCTAAGATGGCTGCTTTGTCACATGGCTGTCCCCTCAGCGGGATGCTGGAACAGGAACAGTGCGGGGCTTTTGGGCTCTCTCTCATGCCTGCAGAGTGCTGGGAGGCCGCAAGATTCAAGTGAGGGCCACGTGGTGCCCATGATGCCTGAGAACCAAGTGCCATGGCCTTGGGGGCCCTCACTAAAGTCCCAATATGAAGCTTGGCACTGAGGGAGAGGGACAACCTGTGACTTTCTCTGGCAGGAAAATAGACCTGGACAGAGAATAGTGAGAGCGATAACCTTGGAGTTCTGACACAACTTGGGGAGGAATGGGGAAGGCATTGTGGAAAATTGCCCAGTATTGGACTCCTCACCAACCTTAGTGAGTGGGAAAACAATACAATTATAGATTACATTTCTTGTACATGAGTATCAGGAACAATGAATACCTGTAACCATTTTAAGTTCCCATAAGCCACAGAAACATCATTAAGAATGGATGCATAGGGGCGCCTGGGTGGCTCAGTTGGTTAAGTGACTGCCTTCGGCTCAGGTCATGATCCTGGAGTCCCTGGATCGAGTCCCGCATCGGGCTCCCTGCTCAGCGAGAAGCCTGCTTCTCCCTCTAACCCTCCCCCTCTCATGTACTCTCTCTCTCTCTCATTCTCGCTCTCTCAAATAAATAAATAAATCTTAAAAAAAAAAAAAAAGAATGGATGCATAGATGGACAGATGGATGGACGGATGGATGGATGGATGGACGGATGGACAGATAGTTGGACTGATGGGTGGATGGACGGATGGACATAGAGACAGACAGATGGATGGACAAATGGATGGATAGATTGACAAATGGATGGATAGGTGAAAAGATGGATGGATGGATGAATGGATAGATGGATAGGTGGGTGGAAAAATGGACATCTAGGAACATGACATTACTTTGAGTATGAGTTTTCTGATCTTAAAAATGAGAATGTGCTCATTCACTGTCTTGTGGCAAAGTCAAACTGAAAATGTGCATGAAATGATGCTTGGAACAAAATAGTTTCAATAAATATTCACTTCCTTGCTTTGTCCTTCCATGACTCTGTTTGTCTTCTAGAATTAATGGCCTCCCTTTCCACAATATGTGCTCTCAGATCAATCCAGTAACTTCTTGTGCTCTGCAGACCAGTATTTGCAGGCTAGTTCTGTTTCTTCAGTTTCCTGGGGCAGGGTCTTCTTTCCTTACCCACAGGTCAGTACGTGGGGCTCTGCGAGTCCAGTGAAACCCGATGAACTGTAGATCAGTCAAGTGCAAGTTCAGTTATTTTTTTTTCCTGCAGCCAGTTCTGTAGGCTGGATATTTGTCTGAATGCCTTGGCCCTGGAAAATAAGGTGATCTAATTTGGGCAGAGTCAGGAATGCGAGCCATAGTACCCTGCTAGCTTCCTGTGGGAGATCGACAAAAACAAGCTGTTTCAGGAGACCTTTTCCCTCACTGAGTATCAAGTTGCCTTGCATCAGTGTTCCCCGTGATTATGCAAAACAAATGAATAGAGAAAACATGTTTTAAATACAAATAGAGATCAAGTGAACTTAAGGTTTTAATAGGATTCAAGCTCATTAGGTGTTAACCAAGACTGAGAAGGTATCAAGCCATGGAAGCTTATAAAGTCTCCTTAACTCTTCTGTGTGATCTAGAGCAGATCTTGTCAGACTTCTGAGTGCTCTCGAGTCCCCCCACCCACCGGGGGATGGGGTGGGCTTGTTTAAATGGGAATTCTGACTCAGGATTCTGGGGTGGGGCCTGAGCTTCTGTGAATTTCTAACAAGCTCCCAGGTGAGACTGATGCTGGCATTTGTGAGCCACACAGAAAGGATCTGGAGGTGCCCTGTCCAGTGTCTCCGTCACCCACATGGATGGTGGAGGAACCCATGGACAATTTTTGGTAGAACCTTGCCAGTCCTGATTAAATTGGCTCTTGCTCTGTTCTCCCTCTCACTTCCTGGCCCTCTGCTCCTGAGTCTGCTCCCTCTTTCCTTTCTCTTGTCCTGGGACAGGGCCCCGCAGGAACTCTTGGCTCAGCTGAGATGCTGTGTCACTAAAGGACTCCCACCACGAACTGGAGGAGAGCCCCAGGACCAAGCCTAGGGTTGAAGCCCACAGAGCGCCAAGTCAGAAAGACAGCTGGCTGTGGTCCAGCCCTGACTCTGTGTGGGTGCAGACCATTGCTAGGCCCTTGCTTTGTGGTCTTGGAGCTCGTGCATCTATGTCTGTGATGAGAAGCTCTGATGCTTCTCTCAGAGTAGCTATAATTACTGTCAAAGAAAACCCAGCACTGGAGAGTAGTTAGAGCGGTACAAACACATTTTATTCAGGACTATTGCAACTGCGGAAAAGAGACCTCAGGACAGAGCTGGGCTCAACTCCAAATACAGCAAGGGCGAGTGGGAATTTATAGCCAAGGAGCAGGGCAGGGTCCATGGATGGAAAATTACTCATTCCGGCTAAAGCGACATAACAGGATTCTTGCTGAAGGCAAGTTGGGGAGATCAGACATCACTTGGGGGGTGGTGGGGAATGAGGACCTAATCTAGATTTGAAGAGTGGGGGTTCTGGTGACACTGACTTAGCAGGGTTCTTGCTAAAACTGGATTTACTAGAAGGGCACAGATGGTCCCAGAAGGTTTAGGAACCTGACAGAAGCTTAGTTGAACTTTGTCACCACCCAAGACAACCAACCTCATGCACACAAAAAAGCCCTAGGAAGCTGTATGCAAGCACATGAGGTTATCAATCATTTTGAAGTCAACAGTGAGTGGGCTTCACCCACTTTGGATGTTAAAGGGGCAATTGCAGGCCTACTGTGTGCTCCTGCCAGCACCCCCAGCTCAGTGTTATGCAGGACAAAGACCCTGTTGGCCCACAGTGACCCTTCCCTCTTGTCAGTAAAGACAGCAGTTTCTCAGAAGAGAACAGACCTTCACTTCCTTCATCCTCTCCAGTCCTGGAAGCTGAGCTGGGTTCAGAAGGAACACACACCCAGTTAGAGCCCCAGCATTGAACCTGAGCAGGGCAGCGAGGCCATCGCTCCCCCTCACCTCCCTCTGTCCCTGCCTGCGGCCCCCGGTCCCTGCCCAGTCTGCGGGGGGCACCCAGGCTCCATGGGCCCCTTGCACTTTTCTGTGGCCTCTGCACAGACACGGCACCCCCTGGGGAGCAGACACAGAGGCTGTGTGGAAGAAATGACACAGGGCTGCAAAGACAAGTCACATAAATCTGCGCAGAGGCTCAGCGCTAAGGAGAATTGGCATCCATAGGTGCTTTGAAGTGGAATCAAGGAATTTCTGATGTTAGGAAAAAGCAGAGTGCTGTAGAATTTGGAAGAGGAAAGACTTTTCTCAGATCTGTTGGCAGTGATATCATAATCCGGTCAGAAAGGAGCTATAAATGGATTTTCTCTTTTAGACAGAAGGGGGTTTCCATTTCACACGGTGGTATGTGCTCCCCACCCCCGCTGCAACGGGTTTCAATCACTGCTGTTAGAACAGTCTAGACTTGGCTTCTGCCCCAGTACCACCCGACAACTGAAAGGTGCCCCCCTGGCATCGCCCCAGGGAAGCCACTCAGTCCTCTATCCCTTCCGCCTGATATTCCAAGTGCTCCGAGTCCCCTCCTCCTACAGGGAAGTGACTGAGCTGGAAAGTACTGGGTGTGTCTCTGGTGACAAATGGTGAGTGGCTGGGCCTCGCTGAGCCCGGCCTTTCCATAAAATGAAGTGGTCAGAGCAGACGATCGTAGGAGCCCAGTGAGTGCAAACACCTTCAACCTGTGGGCAGACTTCTTTCCGATGCCTTTCTAATTCCCTGTACGGAGTATGCTGGCTTCAGTCTTAAGTTTGGACACCATACTGTCCATGTGATGTGACGCACATAGCAATGCGTGAGGTCGTTTGCTCCATCCCTGAACTATCCTGCATCCGAGGGCACTTGGGTCCTTGTATTTGCTGTGTTCAGCTTCTCCGCACTCTTTTTTTATGATAAGTATCAATCACAGAAGCAGCCTGCAAATGTTACTGCTTCGAAGAGCTTTGCTCCTCTTTGGGATCATTGTGTCGTCTTTGTTGAGAGTCGGGAAACCAGATGAGCGCGGATGTCTCCACCGTGTGCAGAAAAGGAGGGCGCAGGCTCCGGGTGAGGGTCTGAAGGACCCTCTCTGAATGCAGTGCCTGAGTCGAGAGCATTCAGACCCTTTGCTTTTACTTCTCGTTTTCAGCAAGTGGCTGGTCGGCTCCGGCAGCCATGACCAAACCCGCCAACAGGGGCTCAGACAATAGGCATTCATTTCCCACAGTTCCGAGGCTGGAGCCCCAGATGAGGGTCCTGGTGAGACTCTCCTCCGGGCCTGCAGACGCTGTGTGTGCTCATGACCTTTCCCGGGGGCTGGGAGACAGAGAGGGGGGAGGGAGACAGAGACAGAGGGAGAGATCCCTCTCTTCCTCTTCTACCTGGGGCGCTAATCCCACCATGCCCCTCCACCCCCCAACCCTAATCACCTCCCAAAGGCCTCGCCTCCTAAAACTGTCAATTTAGGGGTTAGGACGTCAACATTTGAATTTTCGGGGAGACACAAGCGTTCAGTCCCTAACAGTGGTATTAATGGAAAAAGATACTGTAGGATGACAAAGTGTGTCTATGGTATTGTTCTTAGCGCCCTCATCTAAGGTAATTACAAATATTCACACAGGTTACTTCTGGAAATTCCACTTAAAGTGGGGACAAATTCCATCCCAAATACACACACACACACACACGCACACACCCCACTACAAAGACTGCAAAATTAATTACATACAATTAATTCACATTACAATGGTTCTTCCGAGTTTGTCATATATTACCCTTTGCACCCCCAAAATAACACGTGACGGTGGGCAACAGTGGACACTTCCACTGATTGAAAGTCTATCCTACATCCTTCTGCCGGTCGCCCAGAGACACCCACAGCCACCTCTGGTCTCCACCTGATCTCACCCCTGCTTGTCCAAGCCTGAGGTCACCTCTTGCCCTGCAAACAGGCTGTTTCCCGCTGCCACTCTTCCCTCCATCACCAGCGGCACCACCACGCAGGACTCACTCGGGGCGTCTGCGACTCCTCCCCCCGCCAGCCCCGCAGCTGGGCCCCCAGTATGTGGCTTACCTCCCATCCAGCTCCAGTATTTGCTTCTCCCCCGTCACCCCACGCCCCTGCAATGGGCTTTCTCTGGCCAACTTTTCAAAGACCCACCTCCCCTCCACCACCCGCATCCCACCCACACTGCCTCCTTCTTGGCATTGCCCTTCGCTGCTCACTTGCTTGTGCCGTGATCGCTGGAATCCAGGCTCTGTTAGAGCAGGGTACGGTCTGCTCTGTTCCCCGAGCTTCACCACCTCCTAGAATGGTGCCGAACATGTAGGAGGTACACAAAACAAATTTTAAATTTGTTAATGTATTCCCCACTTTCTGAGCCACAGACAGGTCCTGCGGCAGATGGAGCTCTCTACCTCCAGGATGGTCCGTCATCGAAGACCACATGCTTCCCTCTGTGGGATCTCAGCCCCAGGGTCTGACAAGGGCTCCAAGGTAGATTGGTGACATGAGGTTGGAGGTCTGACTGTCCCCCGGAAGCCTCCCCCATTAAAAAGGTGGAGACCGGGGGGCAGGCCTGACCTCGGTGTGTGAGGACTGGCCTGACCCCCTGTGGGTAGGCTGCTCATGGACATTGACCCCGAGGCTCCCAGGAGGATCTGGCAGACCCAAGCAGCAACCAGGGCCAGGACAATGGGAGGACCTTGTTTGTAGGACCCTCCCTGGCCAGGTCTCAGCAGGCAGGCGTGCTACCCATCAGGATGGGTAAACAGGAGGGGTTCCTTCAAAGCAAAGGCAGGGGACAGCAGAGGAAGCCGGGCAGCCTGTGGGCGCCTCTCTGCTGCCCTTGGGCCCTGTCAGGTGTCTCCCGTGGACAGAGGAATTCCCTCCTTCCAATGGGCATCCTGAAGCCCAGATCACTTTAACCAGGCATGCGTGAACCCGACGGGCCTTCTGATTTAGCTTCCGTCCCCTCCTTTCAGGGGCAGGCAGTGTCCCTCTTGGAGATTCATACACAACCTCAAGGGCACCCAGGGCCCCTCACCGGACCCCAGCATCACAGCAGGTACCACCATCCCCTGACCCTGTCTGGGCAACGGTGGCCACTGAGGGGCCCTCCGGCAGGCCTGCTGGCCACCAGGACCCGTGCAGCCTCTCCTGAGCCCCCTCCCACAACCGGATGGGACACATTCCTCCCGCCTGCCGTGGAGACATTCCTGCATCGGAACGTATTCCGAAACGCTGAGATTAGGGTATCGGTGGTTGTTTTTCTCCGTGGCATCTCTCAAGTGCTATTATTTTAAGTATGTTTACCAATGGCACGTCTTCTCAGCTTTTCAAGCCGAGATTGTTGGAGGGGCTTCGGGCCATTTTAAGAGCGTGAGGGACACTGAGGTCCAAGTCAGCCCCCAGCAACATGGGCCGCAAATGCTCAAGCCTTTGTAGCAGGAGGAGAACGTTTGGCAAACTGGCATTGAAATTCTCAAAACAAACTTATTAGTTAATGCGGCCTGTCACCATGACAACCAAACAGCACAAAAACAAACCATTAGCACACGGATTTACGACTGTGGAAGGTTTAGCTAATACCATTCCGGAGGTATATTATTTTCCACTCTCAGTTATAATTAAAAAAAACAAAAACCTAATTTAAAATCCAGCATGAGAGCACAATCCGGCACAAACATCCCCACACAGATGAGAAGCCCCAAGTGCGCGCAGGCCCACAGGTCCGGCACGGTCCCCGCGGACACTCGGGCGGCAGAGCAGGCTTCCGGGCCCACAGCAAAGGCCACGCAGGTGCAGCAAATCACAGGTGGGTTCGCTGCTTGACAAAGTGGCTCAGAAGGATCGGTTATAACCAAGAATCCCCGCTTTGGATCCGGTCCTGGTCTCGGGACGCCCGCCCAGGGTCAGGACCGCTTTGCAACCCCATCCCCAGAAGCACGCGGACACGGTAGAGATGCCGACAAAGTGAATTAACTTACGGTTAGGGATTCCCAGCAAACAGCCCCTAGTGTTTCCGGGGACGCACACGTAGATGTCACTGGGGCCCTAAGGGAAGTGAAAGGATCAAGAGGGTGGGGGTCTGACCATGTCACCTTGGAGAGGCCCCGTGGAGGGACACAGACGCTCACGCAGGCGGGCTTCGGAGGCACAGGGATGGCTTTTGCCCCAGCCGAGGACGTGCCCACCGGGGCCCAGGGCAACGGGAGTCAGGAGCAACGTGACATCAGTGATGAGGATGCATCTGGGCCCCACCCCTCTTTGATTTCCAGGCTTTGCTGTGAAGGTACAGAGCATATGCACAATAGTGTATTGTGTTCAAGGGGAGGAAACATACGTGTCAATATTTTTACAAGTCTGAGTCTAACAGAGGGCTTATGAAACATGAATATTTACAATGGAACGTAACACGAAGGACTGCCAGCCCCCACATGAAGTATTTTACAAGCATGAGCTCACGTGGTCTGCCAGCTATCACGGGGTAAGGGCTCTCATCCCCAAAGCGAGGGTAAGGGAAGTGAAGAGCACGATCCTTGGTCACAGGGCTGCTGAGCGTGGGCTGGTGTTTGAGGCTTTGCCTTCCACGCTGAAGCCCGAGCTCTGACCTGGAGGAGTGGACACGGGGGCCACAGGAAGGGGCAGCACATCCTCCCAGCGCTCCAACCCTCCCTGGGAGAGCCTCAGGTAGACCGGGAGCTCCAGAGCCCGTCCACACATCAGGGCCTGGGATAATCCAGGTGATGCTCAAGCAGCAGATTCTTAGCCAGCTGGAACAGATGTGCCAGCCCCTTTCTGCCTCCCCCCAGCAAGCCCAAGGTCCAGAAACACCCATGCTGCCCATTCTAACCAGCACCTCTGGATCTGTGGCCTAATAGGGCCAGGAGAGTGCAGGGTAGGTCTGCCTGTCCCAAGGATCTTCCCTGGCACAAGCAGGAGGGGCTGACATGGTCCCTGATTCCCATCATTCTTCCCTCCTCCTCTTCCTCCTCTGAGCTGGACAGTGGGCCACCCAAGGGCGCTATTGGGCCAGGAAGGAGTGGCACTCAGCTTAGGACTCAGCCAGTCTGGGTGAGGGTGGAAAACAAAGCAGGAGCCCCATGCACCCACCCACACCACTGTCTGAAAGGGAAGCAGCCGAAGCAGAAGCAGATGGGACCCTGGTGCCCTGGAGGCTGGGCTGACTTTCTGGAAGGGCCTGGGAGAGCAGGACAAACAGAAGACTCTGGAACAGAGCTGCCTTCCTGGGGATCCCCCCTCATTGGGGGCCCCCAAAAATTGCATTTGCATTTCCCCCAGCAGCCTGAAGATATGAGTAGGGAAGGAAAGTATTGCCTAAGGGTAGATTAGGGGAGCACTGGGGATGGGGAGGGGAAAGGAGCACTGGGAATGAGTAGGGAAGAGGAGCACTGGGGATGGGGATGGGCAGGGGAGCATTGGGGATGGGGAAGAGAAGAGCGTTGGAGATGAGTAGTGGGGGAGTGTTGGGGATGGGAAGGGGAGCATAGGGGATGGGGAGAGGAGGAGCTGGGAGGGCTGGATCCATCCTTCACTGGTAATCTGTTAAGCACCTGCATAGGAACCCTGGGAAAGGAAAACACTGGGGTTATTGGTGGATGAAGAGGGGCACTGTGGGTGAGAACCTGGATAAAGCCAATAGTGAAGGCTGGAGGGCCTGAGAGATCTTGAGAAATGGATGGATGAGACCATGTAAGTTATTTTATTGAAGACTTTATTTAAAGTCACCTTTCTTGGGGCACCTGGGTGGCTCAGTTGTTTAAGCCACTGCCTTCTGCTCAGGTCATGATTCCAGAGTCCTGGAATTGAGCCCCACATCGGGCTCCCTGCTCTGCGGGGAGCCTGCTTCTCCCTCTCCCTCTGCCTGCCATTCCCCCTGCTTGTGATTTCTCTCTCTCTCACTATCTCTCTCTCTGTGTCAAATAAATAAATAAAATCTTTAAAAAATAAATAAATAAAGTCACCTTTCTTAGAGGAACAACACCCACCTTCTGCTGGCAGGTGGCCTCTCCCCTACCCGCCCTACAAGACTTTGTTCTGTCAAAGAGTAAATGGTTATTCGTAGATCATAGAGTAACTTTAAATGTATGAAAGAATGGAATTAGCCATAAAGTAGACCAGTGGTGGTCGAGAGCAATTATCCAAGAATAATTCCACTCCATTTTCTCAGGACTCACGACGACATGCAAACTACTGGATTTTTTCCAGTTCAAAATTAGTATTACTGGTAGAAATAACACAAAATAAAGCCAATAAAGACTGGGACTGCACACAGTGAAAGTTGTTATTGAGGAAAAAATGGAACGAAACATCATTGTTAACATAGAAAACTATGAAATTAAACCAGGAAAGAAGAGAATTGGTGGAAGTAATAAACCGAAAATAAAGTAACAGAACATAAAAATACATATTAAGTTTGTTAAGGATTTAGACTGACAGAGGAATAAAAAATTCTTACCAAAATTTAGATCTGTGCAAATTATCAAAGAAATTGGGCTTTGTAGAGGTAACGGCTGCAAAGAAAGCTCATTAGTGCCGAAGATACAATCATGGAAATCAGACATGGGTAAAACACACAAACAAAAACAAAAAAATGCCACAAAAATGGATGAGTCAGATCATTACGAGAAATAAAAATGGAAACAATTTGGTTAACAGCGCTGTGCAAAAAATTGATCCAAGAACTAAACTGGTTTAATGGAATTAGCTGCAGAAAATACTTCCTTGATAAATGTCAACAGCTATTGGTTTAATTCTGATTAATATGATGGTTCATGAAATCTGGAGTAAAAACTCTCAGCATGAAAATGTCTGCTGGGTCGAAATGGTGATGCCCAGACGGCCTACCTCCAGAGGGCCCTTCAAGGGTGTGCCTGGCCATGCCGACCCGTCCACCGTGGCCAGCGACCAGTCTGACGCAGCCTCTCACAGCCCTTGCAGGGACGTAATATTTGGACTCTGCAAGAAAGACAGTCCTCTTTCTTCTAGATCACAAGCCGTGAGAATCCAGGCGTAGGGCTTCAGGTGGCCACCTTGGCAGCCAGGTGGAGACACCTGTTTGAAGAACAACATCAATCCAAATTGAGAAAGACGAAGGGAAGAAGTCAGGAGAGGAGGGGAAATAGAGAAAGAACCGACTGCCTGCCCTGACCCCTGGCTCCAGCTAGGCCTGAAGCCATCAGTGTCTGCATTTGCCAGGTAGGTGAGCCAATACTTTAAAGTGGGCTCTCCATCAGCTGTGACCCAATGAGCCTGCAGAGGACAAGAATCGACCTCTCAATCAGGTCACAAAGCAGGTGTCAGAGAGTAAAGGAATGAGTGGGCCAGAAGGCTTGAGGTTGTGGTACAAGACCACAGAGATTAAAATGTCAGAGATAGAGTCATTCCGGGTGATACCAAGATACTCCTCATGGTCATGGGTATGTCTGGTTGAATAATGGTGAGGCTCAATGATTCTGAGAAAGTTAAGGGATCTGAAGCTAGACAGGTGGATAAGTGACCCACTTAGGCTTCAGAATCATGCAGAATGGTGTCTGTGTTTGGGAAGTTCCTCAGGAATGGCGGCGGGGTTGGTCAGGAGGTCTATAGATGACCGCAAGGTGGGGTAAAGGGTAACACACTTGGATGTCATGCACCTCAAAACCAAGGAAGTCCACTGCATGGGGCTGATTGTCAGAGTTTCATAAAATTCAGGTTCACCTACTTATGAGGGTTGACTTTTACCCCCAACCCCCAAATTCATACTTGGAAGTCTTAGCTCCCAGGACCTTGGAATGTGACTTTATTTGGAAATAAGGCCATTGCAGATGGTATGAGTTAAGATGCGGTCACCTTGGAGTAGGGTGAGCCTCTAATCCAATAGGACCAGCGATCTTACAAACGGAGGAGATCTGGACACAAAGAGGCCCACCAGGAGAGTGTGTGCGAAGGTGAGGACAGAGATGGTTGTCAGAGCCTGCTAGGAATAACGGGCTAGGGGGAAGCACCGCACACACTCTTCCTCATCGCCCTCAGAAGGAGCCAGCCCCACTGGCACCTGGATCTTGGATGTCTGGCCCCTGAGAATACATTTCTGTGGTTTTGTGGCACTTGGCTACGGTGGTCCCAGGAAACAGATACACTGGCCCACCCAAGGGATTCTCCCAGGAGAGATGAGCGTGTGTCCACACAAAGATGCTTGGGCGAATGTTCATACCCACCCCACGTTGGGAACAGACCAAATGTCCTTAAACAAATGCATAGACCAGCAAATCGTATGTTCACGCACTGGACTACCACCCACCGATGAGAAGGAGCAGGTCACTGAGACACAGGCCATGAAGGAATCTCAACAATCCGCTCTCTGAGCGAGAGGCCAGAACACAAGGAGGGGGGCTGTAGGATCCCGACTGAGTGAAGGTCCATACTGCAAACTGACCTGCGGGGATAGAGGTGGACGTGGTGGGGGGTGGGGGGTGACAAGGGGGCAGGTGGCACTTTTGGGGTGATGGGGATGTTCTGAGTCTTGATGGGGGGTGATAGGTAAGCATATACATTTGTCAAGACTCATCAAACTTACTCCACGTAATGTACTCCTCCATAAAGTGGATTTAGATGATTAAAACTAGAGCTGAAACAAGGGAGGGTGCGTGGTGTGGAGGCAGTGAAAGGCCCCGCACGGCTGACCCCGTTTCTCGGCCCAGATCCGGTGGGGGCAGCGGGGAGAACCGGTCAGAGTTGTTCACGAGGAGACACGGGTTCTGGGGTCTTTCCCTCTCTCACCCACGCAGTAATTACCTGGGGAGTGCCAGGCCGAGGCCAGGCAGTTGCCTCGGCACAAAAATGCGTGTATGCAGTAAATGAACTGGCATCTGACCATCCAGGCGGACGACAGAGAGGAACACGCCAAGCTGTGCTAAGGTCAGGAAGGAAAGTCCCACGGCCACGGGAAGGGGGCAGTGAGGGGCCTCTGGTGTCGCTGGGGTTCCCGGGGGAGGCTCTCTCATGAGGCAGGATTGGAGAGGCCCCGGGCGCGGAGGCAGGTGCTGCAAGGGCAGGTGGCAGAAGCAAAGCCTGTGGAGGGGACAGGGGCCGTGGGGCGGCCGTCTGAGGACCAGCAGGGACTCGGTGGCATTCAGTCTTAGGGGCACTCTGGCCAGAGCTGGGGCAGTAGCCGTGGGGTGAGGAAGGGAGCCCAGGAGGCCGTTGCTGTGACCTCGTGGGAGAGGATGATGGCTGGGCACCGCTGGGCAAGGGAGCGGTGCGGTTGCTCGGAGCCCCGAGCTCCGAGTTAATGCTCTGTGGTCATTGTCTCAAAGTTCTTAACAACGTGATGTTGGGCTTTGTGTTTTGCAGGTGAAGTCTGATGGGGCGCAGGAGCCTTGCTGGGGCACCATCCAGCTCCCCACTCCCGCCTTCCTGACGCTGTTTCTCAGCCCCGTCACCCCCCGGCCCGGCATCTTGGGTTCCCAGTGTGGCCTG